AATTATCCGCGGATATTACAGTTATCCGCTAGTTTATAGTGATCTATCCAATTCGATCCAAATAAATTTGTTTTAAGTGTGTGGTCTTAATGTGACAACGGTCATTTCTAGGAAAGTAATAATGTTCATAAATAGTGCAGGGCTCGTTGAAAATGTCTGAATACCATGGCAACAGCATCCAGAGTGTTCCTGTAACATCACCTCTCCATTCACAGAAAAACAACTCACATAAACACAATCGATTTAAGTGGGCCTTGGTATAATTTTGCAAACAGAAGACCTTTCTTTACTCTGAGATTCCTCACAAGTGGAATCTATGTTTAGAAACGGAGGTAGTGGCAGGAAGCAACTTAGACTTCTGCCTGTCATGCAAGTCCTTTGTGCATAGAATACAATTAAAGTTGGTACATAAATGTATCCTTTTGTAACATCCTGCTGTTTCTGTTGAACGTTATGGTTTTTTATTTCTGTGCTGGAGAGAATCTGCATGTTTGACGTTAAAACCACCAGTACCTACCTGTTGGTTCCCTTAATTTGAAAGTAATAATGGCTGAGATGTGCAGAATATATTTTTGTTCTCCCTTAGTTCAGAGTAGAGTTATGTGGAAATGGATTTATCTGAAAAGGTTGCAGGATTTTCAAGGTGATGGTTAAAGTGATGGTTAGAAGTATATAATGTTGGGCAGTAGTTGCTATGCGAAGGTCCAGTCAATCCTAACTGCCTGTACAATATGTGAATCTGACTATGCAGGTTTTTCTTCAATAGAAATGCTGCTTTGGTTAGAAAATTCACATAGACGATCCAACATGTTCAAATGACATTTTATGTGAAACTGAGGTATTTGTCTGCTGTTTAAAGCACAGAACACTAGGTTTTACAAATTTTGTTAATCTTTGTGAACCAAAATCAGTGTTTGCAACTAATAAGTAGAACATGATCGTTTGCTGATTGTTTGATCTCTGAAATGTTGTACATTTGAGTGTAAAAGTTTGGTTTTGGAGAACCAATTTCTTTGTGCGCAAATGTAAATTATGAAGTTGAATTTGGCGAAACTGTAGCAAATCGATGCCAGTGTTGTCTGGCTGTAATTTTCAGACTGGAACTGCATGTGTACAAGTTGATTGCTTTTTAAAAAAAGATAGATGTTGCACTTGTCAGAACCGTCTCTATAATAAACTCACATTCTAAAGATTATACTCTATCACCTGTGCTTTGACACTGATGTTCATCTGATGGTGTTAATTGAGAGCACAAAATCCATCCTGTTGACAGTCTGGCACCATCTGGTTTCCTTCTGAAAATACCAGATGACTCTGACTTCCAAGTGTTGATGACAGACAAGTGCTAAATGATGCAGCCTTTCATTTGCTTGACACGTTATGGATTTCATCAGGAGGGGTTACTGACATCTGCTTCAGATGGGCATGTGATTGATGCTAAAACTTTAGAAAGTGTTCACAAAAAAAAAAAAAAAAAAAGCACAATTTGAGCCCCAGCCAAATAGAAGCTTAAAGGGCAAAATATGCTGGCTGAAATGGTTGGCTACTCTGGATGAGCCAAACTTGAGTCAAAGCACAAAATTAGCATTTGCAATTGTGCAATGAGACAAACGACTTCCTTTCTCTAAATATTAAACTCTGAAATGGAGGGGGGGGGGGGGTTTCTTAAAATCCACACTTTGTGTGTAGTGGAGGTTTACCATAGCAAAAAAAATTCCTGTCTGCTGAGGAATGGAAGATCTAACGTCCATTCCTCCTCCTAACGTAGAGTGTTGGTTACCTGGATGATACTAATGAAACAATCTGTAAGTACAGTTAATATGTAAGCATACTTTGATTATTAATAAAGAAATTCACTCTTTTTTTAGGTATTGGGTCAGTAATGATGTATGATGACAAAATGAGTGGCATTTTTTAACAAATCTTTAACTTAATCGAAAATCACGTTATAATAATTAGAACAAAGTAAATGACAGTAGTGCCATCAGTATTCCGTAAATACAAACTGCAGGTAAAACTGAGACAGTTATTAAAATATTCAAAGGCTGGAAAGATCTGGAAAAATGATGAATGCACACAGATTATGAGCCTTTTGCTTGATTGCCGAGCACAAACCCAAACATTTTTTTCAAATTTTTTTTTTTTTTTTTTTTTTTTTTTCCTTTCAGAATCGCAACCTGAAAAATATGCTAGAAACTTGTAACAGTTACACAACTGTCAGGCTCAATTGAACAAACAGGCCTTTGTGGGAAAGGACGCATTGAAATGTGAAAATTATCCTTGACATAAGGTCAAAGTGAATAAATCCAGAAAAAAAAAAATCACAGTTTTACCTTCTACCAAATCAAAATGATAAATCAGAGCTTGGATAAAAATAAAAAAAAAGTCTGAATCAGTGAAAAGGTGTTATTTAAAGTTGGCCTTTGATAACTTTAAATACTATGTGAATTTCACAGCTATGTCAAAAACAAAGGCTGAATTCCTTTTATTGTTATATTTGTAAGAATTCTTTGCATCTTTAAATTTTGAAAACCTTACAAAAAAAAAAATCAGTGAAGTGTTTTGCATTTCACTCCAATTGGTTTAGTCCACTATAAATTATGTTTTCCTATAACAAAAAGCAACAACACTGGTATATTACTGTTAAAAAAAGAGGAAGAAAACATTTATTTAGTGCAGAAATAAAAACAATAGAAATCATTTTAGAAGAAAGCCAGAAAAAGTAATTATGTAGGAAATAAAAATCGTGTCAGTCGTTTACAGTCCACAGTTAAAATTATGACGGTGACACTAGTTTTTGTTTTTATATATGTATAGATTTTTTTTTTTCATTTAAAGGCAGTTAAAGATTTCTCTGAAAGGTTAACTTATTTTTTGTTTTTGTCAAACGGAAAATAAATTTGCTGCCCACTGCTGGAGCTACAGAAAGCACGATAAGGACGTCTGCTGCATGACAAAGGTCTAATCCTGTTTTGAGATTTATTGCTCTTGAGCCCCAATGCAAGACAGGGAAATGTTTGTGAACGTTTTTCTGTTGTTGAACCTTCTTCTTGTTTTGTTTTTTGGTCGCACATTTTTCAGATTAAGTGAGCTTTTCATTAAGGAATTTTGATTAAGTCTTTGTGGATTTGGATGATCTCAGCCACGGTGGAGCATTTTTTGAGAAATGTAGTTCTGTTAAAGTAATTATAGTTGGCCGGTCACTCATTGAAAGATTGGTCTCATATCCACACTGCAGATACCAATAGCTTAGACAGTCATTTTAAATGGATAGTTTATTTTTTATTTTTTTCCAAAAACAACAAAAAAATGTTTTGAGGAACATCGCACCTCAACAACAGAAATATATTTTTATTGCTTTTATGCATTTATAAATTTCCATGTTTTTAAGCCCGCAGCTCTTGTGTTGTATGAAGAAATGGATGCATCTAGATGAGATGAGCGCCTCCGTCTTCAGTGTGAAATATTTCTACATGATCAAATCCCCCAAAAAGTTTAGCTTTTTCAAGAGATGCTTTTTCTTCATCAACACATACTTTAAATATATTCTTGCTTCTGTGCTTTACTCCAGTCAGAGACATCCACACCTTGTAACAACGAAAACAAAATCCCCTAATGGGCTGTCACAGACACCGCACCTGGGCTCTCTTCTCTGCACCAAAGCATGCATTCTTAATGTAGCCACAACATTTTTAGGGAAAGGGGAACGTTGCGTGAAGAGATTCTAATAAGGTTTAACAGATTAAAAGCAGATTGTTAAGGCACAAGGTGAGGTGCAGCATTGTTATAGACAGAGAACTTATTTGTGACGCCACATTAAACTCTCTCATTTTTGTCGTCATAGTTTACTACGTCTCCTTTGGTATCATAGTTTACTATGTGTTATTTTTGGCTTATTATCAATGTCTGTGTCACTTTAGACGTCATGCTTAATTTTCTACATCAAGAGGTGTCATTTTACCTCTTGAGAAATTGTACCTCATTTTCAATGTAAGCCTTATTTAACCCATGTGTCATTTTACCACATTTTTGAGGTAACACTATAGTATGTGTATGTTTCTCCTTTTTGACATACTATACTGTTTCTTTTGACATTGTACTATATGTCATTAATATACGTCTTCGTCGCTGTTGGCGTCCTCCGGGTTGTCCTCCCAGCCAATGTCTTAACTGGCTGCTTTTTCAACATAATACATATATACTAATGTGCTATGTGCAATCTTACTTCAATGTCATTCTATACTAAGCCTATACCATGTGTCATTTTACCACCTTGTTCATCACATACCTAATGTTCAACATCATCAGGATTGTTAGTTGGTTGGAACACTTTTAGGTAGAATTGAATGGAAGATTACTTTTACATTGGATTTGATTTTCAAGCCATGAGAAATTCTTGAGAAGTGTCAGTCTCCTTGGTAACCCGTGGTTACCATTGTCAACTCTGGGCGTTACTTGAGAGCAATCTCTTTAACACGAGTATCCGTTTAATTCCTGCAAAACCAAAAAACAAAACACTACTATTTTTTTCTTTGTTGGTGTTAATTGCAGGAATATTTGTTTGAGCATGTGGCTTTACTTGTATGCTCACTCCACCAGCTTGATTCACCTTTTTCTTTTTCACTCCTTGTCCCTTGATAGGACATTATCCCTATTGTTTAGTGAAAGTGAGAATTGGACACAAAGTTGCTACTGGTTTCAACTTGTTTCATCCACTTTTATTCTGTTTTTAGATTTCAACTACCAGTGAGCTTGGCGCCATGATGGTTGTCATGCATTGAACAGTTAATAATAGTTAAAAACTCAAGTTTTTAAACGTGTATAGCGAGTTTAATTTGGTAAGCTAATACAAATCCATTCATTATGCTGTGCATAATATGAAACCTAAACCTGAAATTGAATTATTGGTTATTACCAATAATTCAATTGATACTATGATGTATCTGCATCTGATTTGTGTTAACTAGCAGTACATTTTACTTCTGTTCATTTCATTGCAGGCCAGGTGACCCTTTTGAGGTTTGAAGGAGGGCGAGCAAGTGAAATCCAGCCAGGACGTCCATACTGGTCAGGTAGGAGGCTGTGACAGCTTGTGCTTCTTTTCCATACTAACACACACACTGCTGACTTCTGGTTTTAACATCCTGTTGTGGATGAACATTGACACATTCTACTGAACGTGTCAATGTATTTACTAAGTCAGTTGATCCATATTTTACAAACTACCACCACAGTTTTCGGTAACATTTTATTTGAAGGGGGGGTGAATAAGCCTTCATGAATATTTATGACTGTTGTCATAAAGCGTCATTCGGTAAATTATGACACTTTTAATACAAAGTTGACATGATTCAAAATGTCTTTATTATGACAACTTGACATTAACCAAGAAGTCATTACTGATTGCACTTTAAAAATTAGGTAACTTTATGTTATTAAAGGTAAAGTTTAAACAATAATGATTTCTTGGTTAATGTCAAGTTGTCATAACAGACATTTTGAATCATGTCAACTTTATTAAGTGTCATAATTTACAGAATGACGCTTTATTCAACCCCCTTCAAATAAAGTGTTACCCAGTTTTCTTAGAACATACTCATGTTTTTGTTAAGTTGGATGTTTCTTCCAGTTAAAAAGTAATTTTCTGCTGCTGCTCAGTATGAGTGAGGTAAAGTTAGTTATACTAATCATCCAGTGCTTGTCAAAAACATGACGACAAATCTACACATTTGCAAAACATTCCTTTATTATAAATAAATCTCCTTTTTGTATAAAAACAGGCATGCTTCAACCATGGCATTTTACAGGTTCGCAACCCAAGGCTACAACCCGGATCGCCAAGACAGAAGGAGGAAACACACTCATCTCATTATGCAAGGGCGATCCAAAGACATCGGTGAGACGAGAATGGAAAAAATTGCCACAACCACAAAAATACTTACAAGTAGAGAACAACAACACACACTTTGAGTCTCATAGATTTTCTCATACATTTCTCTTTTAAATATCTTAAAATGTAATTTGTTAAATCTGGTTTTCAGCCCCACCTTTGCCCTTTTCTATATAATTTCTACACATCTTCAGACCTTTCTTAAAGATATTCATTTTTATAATTTTTTTTTTGTGTTTTTTGCTGTCCATTGACTTGTGGTATGTCACTTGATGGATTTTTTTTTTTCCTTTAAACAGGTAAGTTCATGGCAGGACCAATGAGCTGAGAGTAGCAGCAAAGCAGGCACACTGACTGGCTGTTTGATGTCCCACCTGTGGTTTTGATGGGTAACGAATACAAAATGTCTCATGCTTGATTTCCGTTGGGTGCTCTGTGCATTCACCGTTTATTCCCCGATCCACACTTCCTCCTCTGTTGCTCAGCTCCTTAGAAGACCCGTCCCGTCAGATAGCGTGATTGCTGTAGCTGACGTATGTCGTCTTAGTTGACGAAGCTGCAAGAGAAGGAGAAACATTAAACTAAAGTATTAAGATCATTAGCAATGTCATCACGTTCGCACATCACCCGAGTTGTGGAGGCTTCGACGAGTGCAGCGTCTCGTGTCCCCCTCAAGCATTCTCTGCTAAATGTCAAAGTCTGTGCAGCACCACAGGTGCCTAACCAATATGTTATTATACATTCATACACATAATTTTCCTTGTTACAAAATAAAACAGTCTTATATTCAACAGCCTTTGCACTAAGATCCTAAATCAAATTTGTTACAACTGTTGCCTGTAAAAAGTCAGGGTCTGCTGACCCTGTTAGAAAATCTGTTGGCACAATGTGCTTTTAGGACCTCTAGAGCAGCGTTTCTCAACCGTGGTCCTCACCGCCCCCCTGTCCTGCAATCATTTGAATCAGCTGTTCTGGGATAGAGGCACATCTAAAACATGCAGAGCAGGGGGGCGGTGAGGACCAGGGTTGAGAAACACTGCAAACCTTGAAAATAAGTTAACATTAGCTAAAAAGAATAACTTTTATGGCTAAGCAAACCAACATAGGCAAAATGTTGTTTTCTAGAGAAAACTCATTTGGATTGGAGAAACATCTGAAACAAAGGACTAAAAAACACTACTCTCTGATAAGTGTGAAGTGACTGTTTCTATTTTAATCTGTAAAGTTTTTTAAATGTGTAGTTATAAAAGTTTGGTGTTCTCTTACTCACTGTTGGTCTCCATGCTCTCACACAGTTCGGTCTTGACTTCTCCGTTTGGCCTGTCTCCTCCCTTCTGGGTCAGCTTTCCCGACATGGTGGCTGCTGTGACGATTGCCTGTAAAAAAAATAAATAAAGTTGCTTAAATTGTCCAGCGTTTTACAAATAACTGTTGGTACTTTAACTATGATGGTTTAATCCAATTGAAAATCTGTGATAAAAACTATAAATTAATGTTCACAGACTTGCAGAAGTTGTTTCTGTAGATGACTGTCTGGGCTATAGAATACAAACACCATTTATCTTTTTGCTGGTTTATTATATTATAAACCAGCAAACCTTGGATGTTTGTGGCAAAAGGCATAAGAATACATGTGCACCGATTTGGTAATTTCCCTTTCTTCTGCCTCGTGTCCATCTCTGTGACTGACTGGACTAAATCCCCAGTCTGGGCTTCTGTGCACCAACAAATGTAATCCCGACACCTGCTTGAAAAGTGAAGCTAATCCATCATCCCAGGCAGCCTCATATCGTTTCAGCAGCTCTGTCTTCTCTTTCCCTACAACACCAAGAAACACCGGATGTGTGTGTGTTCGTCAACCAAACAAGCGAATGTGGGCAAGATTCACACTTCTCAATTTCTTTTGCTTTTCTCTTTGATTGTATGTGTGTATCATTTACAGAGACACCAATTCTATGTTAACATAAGTTCAGGTTGGTACATTTTAAAAGCAGCTTACCTTGAAGCTACGTTTCCTTTTGGGCACGTTCTGCTCCGGGTGGAAGAGGATGATGTAGGCCTTGGGCATGTAGAGCATCCCCAGAGATACGGAGGCAGAGAGGCTGAGGGAGATTGTCAGGGTGGTAGTTTGGATATACATCTGGAACAAGAGATGCATGCAAAGAGAGAGAAGATGTGAATATTACACATTTCACCCATACTGAGAAAATATCCAGAATATACCAGTGACACAAAATAAATCACTTTCTGTTTCAATGTGATGCAGATCAAGACAAAGTACAATAAGCTACAGTAGAGCTCAACATTATTTATATTTAACATCATATTTAAATCTTAACATGTTTCTTCTGACTAGAACTAACTGTTAAGTTGCCTAAACCAAACATTTTCTAAAAGAAACAGATTTCTTGGTCGAATGTGAATATATACATCACTCGAGCCAAAACAAGTATAGCAAGTTTTAATGCTGACCAAGACCACACAGAGCAGATTGACCACCTAAGTATTAGCTTAGTATTAGCTGTGGAAGACAGTGATGTCTTCCACATATACGCCGAGATCCAAGACCAAAAGTTGATTTGGGATAGAATGGCTGAGACAAAAAAAAAAAAAAAAA